ATGAAGTAAAACACTTGGTTTAAAGTTGATGCGTTTGAGCTGCTCTATAGATGAATCAGTCCAATATTTTTGACCTAGCCCTGTTCCAGTAGTTTATCAAATCACTATAACCAAAATTTAAATGCATGCCATTTAAATGTATAGCCTTGGGGCTGGAAAAAAAGGTAGTTGCCTAAACTCAGTTGAAACAGTGTACCTTAAATACACAGCTCTGTCAGTGCCTTGGTATTAACAACTGTGAAACGGAGTAGCTCCTGTCATTTTCAAGGCTTTGAGGAGCAATCCTGAAAATAACAATTAGAAGCCTTTAAAATGAGGAGAACTAATCAGTTTTGTGGGCTGATCATATCAGGAGCAAAGATAGAGCTGGATACTTAAGGAGCACTGTAACAATAGCATCTCCAAAGCTAACTAGCTCCTATCATTTTCAGTATCTCTAGTGCAGCCTTTTCACAGCTGCTTCTCCTTTGTTGTTTCTGGCTTAGTTGACAGGAGTACAGTCAAGTTCCAAAGTAGACAGTGGGGCTGAAATATGCAGTGACCCCAAGAAGAATATGTGCTTAACTGGTATGCAGATATAAGAGACAAAGACCCTAGATGTTAAGGTATTGCTGTTTTGCTCCTCTGCAAAGTATTCATGGCCAGCAATAATAAGAAAATTGGTTCTAAGCAGTTGGACATAAAGACGCACTCTATGCAAGTTTCAAAAGGCAGTTTCTCCTTCTTTGCAGCAATCATTGATCTTAGTCTAAGACAGAATCTTCCATTCTGAGCTCTTAATGAGACAGTTCATCTAGAAAGATGGCCACTACAGAGCCCCTATCAAAAAAGTAAGTAATACATTTTTCATTCTTATTATTTTAAAAGTTCTAGTGATCTTTGGATTACAGAATCAAATTCTCAGTGGTCTCATTGCTGGTGTGTTGTTCTTGTGATTCCCCTAAGGTAAACAGGTCAATAATGTGACAGGATAGTGCAACTTCTGAAGCATAGAAATATTTTTAATGGTTTGTTTTTTATTTTCTTGCTTGCTGTGACTCTGGAGAGCAAAGGTTTCTGTTTATCCATTGAACAAGCATCCTCATGTTGTTCTATCATTGTACCTCGTCTTTGCCCTGAAGCAAGCACTTCTAAATGCTGGGAGACAGTTTAGTCATCATGTGCATTTGCTATAAAGCTATGCTATTTTTTTAAAACCGTGGAAACTTGTGCACTAGATACTATGCTGACACCATGAAATTTATGTACAAAGGCAGCAAAGGAGCTCTTAAATCCTTATGTCATTTAGCCTGCGGTGGTTATGCAATACAGGTATTCCCTTAGAAACCTTGGGCTCCTATACACATGCAGGGAGCCTGCTCCGACGCACTGGAAATCCAGCCTCTCAGAGCAGACTCAATTAATCAAGTCTGCTGGAGTGCGGAAATTAACATGCTTCAGCAGACTTTCGTGTCATGGGACATGTGACACTTGGGCACTTTTAATTAGAGGAACTCACTAATTAAAGAGCACCCACCACACGTCTCAGAGCATGTGTAAAAATGCCCCTTACCTTTTATATAGTAGTGCAAACTACTGAGTTATACATGTAACTTAATATATAGTATGCTCCTTTGTATAAGAATAATAATATCTCTAGAGCGTTTAACTCCCAGGATATCACTGCTGTAGACAAAATAACTACTTTAATTTCTAACAACTCCATGTGTTATGTAAGTATTATTATACCAGTTTACAGGGCCTTTAACAATAACCACTTGTTAAAATTTGACTTCTAACATTAGGAGTTGGATCAGGTTCTATTAACTAGAACAAAATCAATGGCAGTCAGAAATTCTAACTCACACACCCTTCTCAAACCAGTAGATAACCATGCCAAATGTGTCAGCAAAAATCAAAATTGAGTACATAGATAAACAGCTTATGCAGGATTGTATTATGGTTTCTGTGCATAAGCAGAAGAACCCAACAAATTATGCTCACAGGAGTGGCAGACTAACTTGGTTCAAAATCTGTGCTGACACAGTATGTTTTGGTAGGATAACAAAGTATAATGGCTCTTTTAATTATGGTTTACTAGGAAACTAAGGAAAGAAACCAGTATATCTTCTAAATGGAAATGTCCAAAATTTTAAAAAAATGCCCTGTGTTTCTTACAAATTACTTAAATGATAAACAAAGTTGTACTTCTTTTGGTTGCATCCTTTTAGAGGCCAAGGCAAATTAGCTGTGTAGTCTTCATAGGTACTTACAATGTTATGGGTCTGGAGTGTTGTGGTAGCTGTGATGGTCCATGGAATATACAAGAAGCAAGGGTTTTCTTCGGCTATATCTTTTATTGGACAAACTGTATAGTTGTATAGCCCCAGATCTGAAGAAAGGCACTTAGTGCCCCAAAGTTTGTCTGATGTGTCTTTCCAGTTGCACAGTTGGCCCAGTAAAAGATATCACCTAAAAAACCTTGCTTCTCTTATGTTGTCACTGAGACTAGATCACTGTACTCCAGGAAGTTTTAATTTTTTTTTAGTGATAGGTGTGTGGCTGAAAAAAAGGACAAATATACAATTGCACTCTTAATTTGTGTGTCCAGATCATGACAGCTTGACTGGTCATTTGCATGTGAAATGTACCCAGTTTCTTCATGTAGACATGTCAGTTGTTCATGTAAATTGGGCATCATCTACATGTGCAGTTGCATTCCAGGCATATGTAAATAAAATTATCAGGTGTTAAAAATGCACTTGGTCAGAGGCTAATTGAGATTTACCTAAACTTGATGCTCAGCCTGGGTACCATGTTACTCTGTGGTGCTATATGATCCTTTTAACCTTGCTGCACAATCTTAACACTTTTAGCTATGCAAACACCTTCATAGGCTTCACAAAATAACCCCAGATATCAGAAAACAGAATCCATAGTGTGAAAACTTGACTGCTGTGGTCTTCCTGAGTTCTTTGTGACAGAAGAATTGCTCCATTGTTTTTCTAGCTTCAAAAAATGAGGGAAAACTAAGACCTGGCATTTTCCAAGGGGTGCTTTCAGTCTAAGGGGGATTTGAGTTTAAATGTGTTAGAACCACTGCTTTACACAGTAAACTCTTCATGTTTAAAATACTTGTCTACAAAGAATTAGCCAAAATTCATATTTTGCTCAATTATCTTATGACTATTTTTTTTTACATATTTAGAGACAGCACTTAATACATGTAGATATTCTGTTTTAATTTTTACAGTGACATGGTCTGCAAGATAGCTTTTGAATAATTAATAATTTAGGACATACCAGCTTCAAGTTATTATATAACAAAACATCCTCATGGTTTTGGGCTTTAACATACTCATGAATTTTCATTCTGTAACCTGATAGTTTGCTTTTATGTAATTGATTTTTGTAGGGCAGGGAAGTCCTGCCTTCATTTATCATCAACATGTTTTGGGGGGAGTCCTGCCTTCATTTATCATCAACATGTTTTTAAACCACTCCATGATTCTTGCTACTAAGGATTACAGGTTTATTTAGCAGATGATGAATTACTTGAATCTTGCCAGCCTCTGTTGCTAACTGGTAATGTTGTATCATGCTTTTTCTACCATTCTAGAATAAGCATATTATAAATTAGTGAGACCATCAGAAGCTTATAACTCACTACTTGAAGGAGTATTTCTGAAGAAGTAGTTTAAACTGTATGTCCTATCTGGATATACTAGCATAATAGGAAACATCTGTGGAACATTTTACTTTCCTCAGTACTATTATTTGTCTGTTTGTGGTATTGCCTATTATGTGCTAGGCTTTTTTCCAGGCCTATGTAAGGGGATGATGATTCATGCCCTGAGGAGTTTGTTAGACAGTGATTTTCTATATGAATCAATTAGTGTCACTGCTTTTAAGAGGGTTTTAAGAACTTCTTTAAGAGGAGAATGCAGGGGCTTGTGGATGAGTTTAGGGAAATGGAACAATGCACAGAGGTTATATGAAAGCAGGACTGAAAAATGAATGGACAAGGGTGAGAAGTCTTGTGAAGTGGAGCCGGTAAGAGCAACAAAAGTGAGGAACCAGCAATAAATATCATAAATCCTTTAAGAAAGATTTGTGTCTGTTTAAAAAGATGATTATTTCTTATGGAAATTTTACACTTTATTTTTATTTATAAAGACTTCTTCTAAGTCTTTAATTTAAACTTTCTGCAGACAAAATTATACAATAAAGAAGTGAAATTCTTCCCATCTACTGATACTTCCCGGAACATTTCTTGTCCCCAGATTACGAAAAGTGAACTTCTGTTTGTAACTTAAAAAAAATAATAACAATGTGAGTGCAGAAAGCCTTGAATAAAATTTCTACTAGTTATCTTCTTCTGTTATGTAAAGCATGACCCAAAACCTTGTCTGCACAAGTGATGTGTTTTGCAGTATTATCTGCTGTTGCTACTGCTGATACAATGCTGTTAGTGACAGCAACATTGGGAGGATTGTTGTAGGTGTCAGTGGTGTGTTAAACACCCTGTCCTCTCCCCTTGCTCAGAGTCATTGACCTGCGGCTTAGTATCAACAACCCATCTTCTCCCCCTCCCAAAATTGCTAACTTAGGTAGAACTGCATTGGTTGAATCCTGAATTTACATGAGTAGTTCCAGCGACTCTAGTGAAACTCTGCACATGAACATGATGGGAACTGGTCCTTCTGATATACTGTGTAATCTTGGGCAGGTCAGTTTGCACTGCTTTCCCTCTGTCTTACACATTTATTTTGCAAGCTTTTCATTCTAGGGATCCTGTCTTTTAATAGGCCTGTGCATAGTTTAGCACAATGTTTAAAAAAATACAGCATCCTTTCCCAGAAAACAGGTAACTGTTAGCCAAGTGTATGGACTGTGACATTAAGGAAGGGGATGCTGAAGCATGTGCTTCCATTTCTAGCATAGCCAGGATGCCCTGCTGTGCAGCTTCCAGACACTGACAGATGCCGTCTCGTCACAAGCCTGTTCTCTGCTTTAGAACAGATTCATTTTCTACTGGGACAAAGCTCTCAGTGGAGAGGGAAACGCAGGCTGTGGGTTTCATTTTAAAGAGAAAACCCACAGCTCTAGGGAATTAAGGTCCTTAGTTGAGAACTTTTAGAGAGAGGATGAGTGATGGAATCAGCCTGATTGACAACGGATTTTTTGTTAGACTAATGAGAACAGCTCCACAATGTCACCCTAGCCCTTCACCTTTAGCATAATTCAGGTGAGGTGGTAGAGTGCATCCCTCCATATGTTTGCCATTAGTCCAGTGGCTATTTTCTGGAGTTGTCAGATATCAGAAACAGAGTTGGTTTTTGTAGTTATTCACTGTCTCTGGAATCTGGCGCTGTAATTTGTGGGATAGTTTCCAATAACCCTTTGCATGCTTTAATAAAAGCCCACCACCTATTATTACATTCTCCAGGAATCTGGCTCATCTGATACGATTTTAATGCGGTCACCTCTATTTCCGGTCACCTTGTCCACATAAGAGAAAGGAGTAAAAGAAAGGATGACTAATATGGTTTGGAAAGAAATATAGGAATAATGGAAAAAAGCATTTCTGAGAAAATGTTAATATAAGAATTTCAGAGCAATTTTATGTTCTGCTCACTGACCTGCACAGAAAAGTAGCAACAGGGAAATCTTCTCTTCATCTTGCTATATATTTTTCTAAATAAAAAAAACACATGTAAAGTATAATCTACAGCGTCAGTTTTGGTCTATACAAACATTTTCAGGATAAGAATCTCACTTCAACATTAATTCTTTTCTGATATGGATGAAAATACTAGAGTTATTTTTAATTTGACTGCCATGAACATATGCAGACTATGTAATAAAGATGCTTGGTCTTTGGTATTTCCTTCATGATTGGTTTATCTGTCTGTTTAGCTAGCTTTCTTTTTGTGCAAGTGTTTATAATCCAGTCTATTAAGAAGATTTCTTTAAAAAGATCAAAGAAAGGATGTTAGTGCTATATTGTTCTTGAACATCTCTGGAGGATCACAGCGGGTAAATCTTGGGATGTATGAAAAAGATGGTTTTTATTTGTGGTTTGTCTGCTGGGGGATGGAAATGCATCTCATTCATTCTAGACTGAGTTGAAGCAAGCAAAAGTGCTTTTTACAGTGCTCCTGGCTTAACAGACTGAAAAGTTGCTACAAACCCACATCTCCTACCCGGAAAAAAGTAAACGTTGCTTTGATAGGTGAATTAGTCCATGTGACGAGCAGGGTTTCAGAGGAGATTAGAGAGACACCCATCTCAATCTGTCTGCGGAGATTTTTTTTATTTTAGTAATAGGAGCTGTCCCACACATAATCTTTGTCCTATTGAATTGGAAACCCTCAGTGCCTTTTGGATGCTTTTATTGTTTTTACCGAGATCTGAAGAATGTCCTTGCTTTCTCCAATGGATGAAGATGAACCAGAACATTTTGATGGACTCTCTCTTCTGTACTGGTATGCCACGCCAATGGGTTTTAATAGCCATCTTATAGTATTAACTAAGAGAAGTGCAGTAAACTTGTTTTCAAACCTGCAATCCTTCTCCGCTTTATTTTGTAGTGTTCTGCTTTTTGTGTGATCCTTCTGGGAAAATTACTTTTTGGCCGTTTAAACTTTGTTGAATACTGTGTGTGTATACAAAAAGTGACTTCAGTGATTTCTTAAGCCTATATCTTAGAAGACACACTTCCACGCACTTATTTTATTATCCTTTGTATTATGAGCGATTTCGGTATTCAACGGTATTCAAAATCCTCAGTTATGATAAATATTTAGATAATCTAGGTTAGCAATATTTTAAACTTTCATATATACTGAGGTTAATAAAGCAGTGGAAGAAAGTATTAACGATTTAGCTTTAATAACCTTTATAACAAGCTGATCCCCAAAACTATAAATATTCAGAACCTTTTTTTACTTTAAATATTTAGCTTTTTTTGCTTGTTTGTTATCCTGCTTGTGCTGATAGGTTTCAGTGTAACAAACCGATATTAATGGCGCACATTCTGCATACTCATAGGTAGTATCTTATGTTTCACCTTTTACTTTTTCTTAGTCTGTTATCAAGTTTCTTTAGTAGTATTCTTTACAAGGAAGTGTTTCATCAAACATTGTTTGATTTATGCTGATAATTAAATGTCACTTTTCTTTTTATTATACAAAGCATGCTACGATGCATTCTAATTATGATTTTTATTACTATTTAGGTGTCAGTTTTTCTTATTTACATCATTTTGCTATTAATGAGGAGTGTTATGTCCTCCTTTGGGTATTCAGTAATATGTGTTAATAGATTATTTTGGTGAAATTAGAACAATTTAGGGTGCGATTTTCAAAAGCAGCCAAGTGCCTGATTCCCAAGTGATAAAAGTGGTTGCAGCATCTTTGCAATAGAGGTGTCATAATTTATACAATTTGAGGGTCTAGCCATAATGAGTATAGCATCATAACTCATTTTGAAAGTCAACTAGAGCACTTCAGAAGATTTGAAAATCCCAGTCCTAGAATATTAGGGTTATAAAGTAATTTTAAACCTTATAAATTGCACAGATCCTTTCACTTACAGTGTTTTTGCTAAGAACTGCTATTTAGGTCGTTATAATAGTATGATGTTACCCCTAAATGCAATATTTTATTTAGAAGTAATTTATCCACCTGGTTTGTAATTCCTATTTTTTTTTTTAAATGGCCAGCATATTTTCTTCTGAATTTTATGAGCAATCATTAATATGTGAACATTCCCTGTGTTTTGTGTACTAAAAGGTTCTTTTTTATTACACGTGTTTCATTCTTAAATTGAACTACTATTTGTTACTGTTTGTAATAGTCCTGCATTTTGTATCGTAGGCTCTGTCATTCTTGATGGTCTCTGTTTTTCGTTTAAATACTGAAAAACTAGAATCTGATTATTGAAATCCTTAGTGGAATGAAACCCCCCTGAACTGGATTTGTAGGACTGAGTGGCAAAATGTGTTGGATTTTTAATTTGCTACTTTAAAAAAATAAGTCTTGGTAAAATTAACTTTAATAAGAATTTTCCAGATTCCTTCATGATTAATTAAGTTTTATAAACCAAAGACCTGTGTTTTGAAATGAGTACATTTTCCACATTCCAGGTTGTACCAAGATTGGCTTCAAAAGATAAGGAGAAAATAAGAATTCTTGATGAATTATTTTATTTTGATGGACACAAACATTTCAGGAAATATCTAGTTGAACTCTTTCCGCCCCCCCCTTCGTTTTTAATAAGTAAAAAAGTTGTATAGTATTTTTTTTTATTTCTCTGTAGTATTTGAAGGAATGAGTACTGACCTGCAGTTAGAGATGTTTGAGAGAGTAGAACAATGTACTGTGTGTGTGTGTGTGTGTGTACACACGTGTGTGCGAGCGTGTGTATTTGTGTATATGTACTTTGGTTAGACTATAAGGTGCAAATCTACCGTCTTCTATTTGACTACAGACTAAGACAGCTACTTATGTGTCTCTGTAGTACCAAAATCCGTAATTAGGGAGAAAACTTTTTGTGGACTTCAAAATGGTGTAATTCTTGTTTCTTGAGCGTTTCAGTGATATATATGTGCACCCACGGTGGCTGTTTGAAGAAGGCGATTAACACATTATTTCTGCGTCAAAGCACTTACTGTATTATTATGGAATAATACAGAATATTATATTGTATTATATTAATTAATCTCTTCAAGAAAAAGATCGGTGGCGGGAATTAGGTTGTGAAGTCAGACAGATGGTTTCTTCAGACTATACATTTCTTTCTTTTCAAATGTTATACAAATATGCACTGCTAAAATGTTTTTTAGAAGGACATTATCACACAATAATAAAAATGATCCCAACATGTAAATATGATCATTGGCAATGATAGCATATCTTAATTAGGATTCATCATTTCTTGTTATCCTGTAGAATAAATGCTAGCTAGGGTAAATTGAGTTCCTTTGGAACATTTGAAACATAAGCTTTTGAAACAATAATGTTCCCCAGTAGTCCTTTTTTTTGCTTACAGTAAAGGGCGCATTTTGAAAGTTAAAGGAACAAAATGGATTGAAGAAAAACTTGCTTGTCTCCTGGGTTGTCTCTTCTTTTTCTCTCATTTATTTCTTTGTTGATGCCTGTAAGTTATTTAAGTGCATGCTCCTCAGTAGTACAGACATCTTAATACCACTTATCTTGCATGTGACAGCATAATGGGGATTATTGGGCAAATAGTTTGTCTGCTTTGGCAGGTGCAAAGGCCCTTGAAAACGGAGCTGATGTGGTTTACTACACAAGCAGGACAACGTTGGGAAGCGTACGCTTCCACGGGTTGGAACTTGGTTTCAGGATGTTATTTTGTACCTAGAACCTCTGGTTCTCACCCTTTCTTCCAGCTCTGTATCTTCCCTCGATGTCTACTTGAGTCCTTGCAGAAACAGAGCATATGGTCTGGTATATGTGGTGCATTGGGTTTTGTAGGAAGATTTGGGTCACGTGTCTACCACTTTGAGTCTTTTTTTCCCTTCCTTGTGAATGGATTATAGTTGGTCTGCTTCACTTTAGCATCAAGTTGTAGGAAATAGAAGTAACTACTCAGCTGAGCATCTGATCGAGGGCATGGCTGAAAAGCTGAGCAATGCTAATGCTTTCCTTTTTTCTTTCTTTCCTTTTTATGGGGCAAGCGGGTCCTCTCAAAAAAACAACAACAGATAACAAGTTATTTATGGTGTAATTTAGGTTTTGTTTCAAAAGCCTCCATGTGAGTGAAAATGGACCTGGGTAAATAATGCTTGGCCTGTTAATACCTTTTCGCACCCAGATTTTTGAACACTTTGTATTACTTTTGCATAGTCTTGGGGGGATTTCTAATGTGTTTATAAATTCAGTTCTTAGGATTATCACTCCTTTGGGGAGAATTTCCTTAATTATTTGCCTCCCAAGTTTCAGGGGCATAAAGTAATTCCCTTACCATTTGACAAATCAGTCTGCCCTCACCTACATTTCTTCTCCTTGCATTCTGTGTTTGGGTAAGAGGGAAGCTTCTGTAAATTAAGGGGGAGAGAGAATGATGTTTGGTGAGAGAACGAGATATGGAAGGAAAGAGATCACCAGCAATTAGCTGCTAGAGAGTTGTGCTCTTCTATTGGCTTTGGAAATATTGCAGTGATGACCATATTAGCAATAGATTAAAAAAGGTCTTTATTTCCTTAATAAGAACTTCCTGTGGTTCATATGCTCTGTTCTAAATAAGACCAGGTTTGAGTTATTAAATAAGTTAACCTTCTTTTATTATCATGTAACGATTTGAAAATTTGACCTGAAATATTTCTGGTAAAAACCTAATGGGTACATGTATTAGATTTTACTTCCCCATCTTTTTTCAGTATGAAAATATCCTCTTATCTGTCACATTTTTCCTTCACCATACAGATAACACTTAGTCAGAAACATCCCTAAAGATGAAATATAACAAGAACCACTGTAGTTTTTATATATTTTTATTTCCCAAAGTGAATTTTCATTATTAGAATTTTAACAGCTCTGATTTTTAAAAATTTTTTTTAGGACTATAATGGGTCCTTATGGAATCAATCGTGCTGTACATCGCATTACTCTTTCTGATTGTCAGAATGGATTAGGTAAGTAGATTGCATATTTAATTGTCTTTAAATGAACCAGATCTCATGAGGTAAAATCAACAGGAGAGAAAGTTTCTCATTCTCTTTTGGACTTATACAGTGGATGAAATAATTCATTTCTTGCTTATTTCTTTTGTTTTTTCAACAGGGGTGAAAATTATTGGAGGTTATCGGGAGCAGACTTCAGAAGACTATGGAATTTTCATAAAAAGAATTTTGCCTGGAGGAATGGCTGCATTAGATAGTAAATAATTGCTTTTGCATCATTAGTAGCATCCTGTGTTACATAGAAAACTGTTAAGAAAGCAAATGAACACTTTTTTTCAATTTTTATTTTTAACATGTACAATAAGTAAAGTATAGTTCAGTGAAGATTCAGCAGTAGATTGTAACTCAAGATATAGAAGAGAGAAATGGAGTATATTGATAATTAATGGATTTACAGCTTTTCAGTTTTTGGGCTTCCATTCAGATCTTCAGAATATGGTGATCAGTCCAAACTGAAAGATGATGAGGTTCTCAACATCCACCAGCCCTAGCAAAAGTTCAGGGCATCAGCTGAATGTGCTGTGGCTGGTTTTTCTGATGTATGTGGAAGGACCATCTCTGTTACACAGAATGTATAATAGTTAGAATATTCTGGCCTCCTGAGCTAGTGTAGCATAAAGTTTCTAAACATAGTCTAGGTTTGTTCACACTCAAATATCTTTAATCCAAAATAGCCAATATTAAATTTAAAATGACTCCGCAAATACAGTTCCTATGCTCCTATAGACAGAGACTTAGGCTCAAATAAGAACTATTTTAAGAACTATTATAAACATTATAAATCACAAACATATTTCATTTTTATATTATAACCCGCCTGTAAACTTTTATTCAGAACTCGGCTGGGACCTAATTCTAAAGCTCTCGTGCCTAAAGCTCCAACCAGGAAAGTAAGCATATGATTAATACTACAGTTGTGAGCAGCTCTGTTGACAATACTTATACTACTCTTTGTAATACAGTTAAGTCCATGATTAAGTGTTTGTGAGATCAGTTAATAAAAGCACAGGAACATCTTTCTTAACAGAGACCCACAAACCAGGATATTTCTCCATCAATTTCCCTCTAACCTAGTGTAAACGGTGGTATGTTATTCCATATTACTTAACACAGGCTAGTAAATTACTTTCTGTTAATCTCTTTATAAGGTCGCTTGTTCACTGGAGACCTAATCTTGGATGTCAATGGAGAAAACTTAGTTGGTGTAACCAACGAAAGGTATGTTCATAAAGATGACTGCCCACTAATTTAAAATTGGGAACGATATTGTGAAACCTGGTGATACATCAAGACAACTATAGACCAAATGAACCACTAATTAAAAGGGCATAACTTCATTGAAGTCAGTCTCACTATATACTATCGATCTGTGGAATTATATATACCATCAGTTGTTACTCAATAAAACCGTCTTTGAAGTTTAAGGAAATCTTGCCTTATAGGATCAGAGTAAGGGGATTTCATATCATACTGCATATTGCATAATATACATGTAAATTAATGTTAAAATAGTTATAAAACCAGCACAGTATTGATATTATTGTAATTATCATGTTGTTTGGCTGGATACCAGTGAAAGCAAATAGTTTGATTACATACAGTGAAGACATGGCATTTCTTTGTAACCCGGGTAGGATAAGTATATTTAGAGAAGTTGTCTGGAATATTTATGGAGGGTGCTACTTGGGTTCTGTAGCAGAACTCAACATGGAGCACCAAGTAGTCTTGGGCGGCTGTGGACTAAAAATAAACACCAAACCAATAAAACTTATAGTACAGATTTAAAAAAGAATGATACAAAATGCGCCTTGTACTCATACAATTTTTTTCTGTCACATAATAATCCAGAATCTATCTGGAATAGGTGTCAAAATAGTATTTTCAAAACAATCCTTCTGTTAAACTGAGAATTCACCCTCTTCTCTGCCATTTTAGTTCATTGCTCACTGTGGAATTGATGGCATATCTCAAAGTATGAAATGAGGTGTATGTGGTGGATTGGGTTTTGCATGAGGATTTGGGTCAGCATGTCTGCCGCTTTGAGGCTTTTCTTCCCCTTCTTTGTGAATGGATTACAGTTGTTCTGCTTCAGTTGAGCATCTTGCTGTAGGAAATGGAAGTGACTACTCAGTTGAGCACCTATTCTAGGACATGACTGAAAAGCTGAACAGTGCTGATGCTTTCCTGTTTTCTTTCTTTTTTGGGGGCAGGTGGGTGATTTGTGGTTGATTTTCTTTGTCTCCCTTCCAGAGCTGTTGACATCTTGCGAACAGCATCTGCATCTAATCACATGTCTCTGCTGATTGCGAGAGATGAAGAAGCCAAGTAAGAAAAAGATAAAATTTTGTTGTGTTAGTTAATTTATGCTAATTGTTAAAATTTGGGGTTTTTCATAAAAATATCCATGGTATAAATGATATACTTTATTCATTTTTTTTTTATAGTACAGTATTTTTGTCACAGTATCGTACATATTTTTTATTATATTTTTCTCATGGGTAACTAGTTTGATTGAGTCCTGTTAGCAAGGATTTGATGAAGAATGATAGCAGAGATTACATCTGAAGTACATCAGTATGTTTTCATAGCTACCTTTCATGGCTAAGCCGATCCCATTCTAATAGAAAATAGCTGATATAGCATTCAGTAAAGGTAAATGCTGCACTGCTCTTTACTCAAATGTGCAGTCCCCTTCAGTTCAGTGGTACTACTCACTTGAATAAAGTCTGCACATTTTGGCCCATATATGATTCATGATTTCAATATTATGTGGCATAGTCAATACCACGGTCAAGTATTTATTTGATGTCATCCTAATGCTGAATAACTGACTATTATATTTTTAAAGTATAAACTTTATTGGAGAAACGATAGCAAAAAAAAAAGTAAAAGCAAAAAAGACAATATATGAATAAAAAACTAGATTACACACCACCGGTGGCACCATGCTCTAGCCATCTGAAAATGGGGTCAGTCTGGTTAATTTGATTTTTTTTTTCTTTTCTCTAAAGCTGCCTTTTTGACCTGTTTAAAAAGCTGCCTTTTTGACCTCTTAAGAGCACTGAATTGGTTGGGATAAATCGGTTAAATGATTCAGTGCAGCAGGTAGCCCCAAATTCCTACACAGTAGGAACAGTTGTGCTAAAATATCCCTTTAATCTTGTTATCTACAGATAATCATATAAACCAACTTTGGCATAGAAGCATAGGAAATGTTGGGATGGAAAGATGCCAGGAAGCCTGCCTAGGTCTGTGCCTCCCTCCCTTTGAGTTACCAGCTATGTCATCCAAATACTAACATAACTATATTTGAAAATCATTGTAAGAATTGCTGCTAGCACTGCCTTAACTTGGTAGTCCTGCATATTAACTAACCTCTACATAAAAAAAAAAAAAAAAACTCCCACCATATTTCTTTAGTGCTGGGACTTCTTAAGTCTACGTTTGTCCTATAATTGACAGTAGCTGAAATGACTTTGCAGCTTCTGTCCTCTCTCTGCTCCTCAGACTCTGCAGGTAGCTGTGGGCACCATTCTTAATCTGATTTTATCTAAAGCATACTGACCTAGTTCCTCTAGCCTTCTTGAATAATTAAAATCCACAAGTTCCTTTACCATTCTGGTGGTTTGCCCAGTGACCAGAACTCTAAATGTGTCCTCACTCCTCTAAAAATATCTCTCAATTTATTTCCTAGTATTGCGCATATGTAATTGTTGTGTGTAGGCCTAGAATCTGGCACTATTTAATTCCTGAAGTAATAACTAATGTTTATGTGAACGGCTGATAAATAATGTGTCTGACTTTGATCTCAGTTGCTCCTCTGCGGCTAATAGAGTTTCATTGGAGTTACGCTGGTATAACTGAGATCACAAACAGGCCATTAAATGTTCCTTTGTCTCTTACATGATATTGGAACCTGTGTATATTGGATTGATGACTATAATTCCTTGTTGCATAAATTTGTTTTGTCCCATTTACCCCTCAGTATACTAAGATCCCCATTTAGTATTTTTACCCTGTAGAGCAGGATATAGGAAACAGGAAATTTACTGGTGTTTGTGCTTTACAGCCCTTCTAGATATATTCTCTTCCTTTTATTTTAACTTTTTTCTTTATCACTAATATTAGTCACACTAATTAATTTTAAAACCCAATTTTTCTTAAAGGAGGCTCTGATTGGTAAGGTTTTGTTTTTTTTCCCCCTTAATTGAATGCATAATGTCTAATGCTGGCTTTACATTTCTTTTTTACTCTGCCATTTTGCTCTAATGTGTCAGGTGTGTTGCCGAAGGTTTTCTCCCTCTTCTTTATTCCTTTTTTAAAAACAGGATATAGAACAGTGCTAACCCTCATATGTGAGTACAAACTCAAGCTGTAAGTGTTATTTCATAGTGGCTGTTTTTTTTGGTTCATTTACGTTTTCAGGCACGATTACTAGGATCATATTCAGAAATATTTTGTATGCTTCAAGGTTATCTTTTACCTTTGTAGCAGTACTCTAGGTTTGATTAATATAATGAAAGAATAATTTTTTTTCCCTCCAGCAGTATTATAATTTAGAATGAAAAGAGAAAGTCTGGAATGAAGTCAAATAGAAACTCTTACACTAAATCTAATCTTTGTACATCTATATAATGAACCAGAATGAAACCCAGTGGCCCTAAATTTTTACAAGTCAAATGAATCACCTTATGATGTTTAAAATAATATAGAAAACATAGAAATGGTCCTATTTCATGTTTTGAAGTGTAGTACATTTGATCAGACAAAGAATAAGAGGAATAACTAGAAAAGCTAATACGAGATCACTGGCTTTTCCAGCAGAGGAAGTGAGGAAAGGCTATCTTTACAATGCAGTCATTGTACACCAGAATAGACATAAGAGAATGCAGATATGGAAACCTCCCAAATAAGGGCTCATTTATTATTTTTGCTTAGTAAAAGCAAAACTGGATTCAAAGTGCTTTACTTAATTGGGAAGCTGAAGCAAACCATATATCAAAATTAGTAACAAATGAAGAATAAAGGCTTTCTGTACATGGGATTTTTTTCAGTAAATAATTTTGTACTTTGGAGCGAATTCAAGAGCTCTTGTTTTTGGCATATCAAATAATGCTACCACTTACCTGTGTAGATTACTTTACATTTTCAAAGTACATACGAGCAACTAATTGTTTACTAATGAGTGGCAGTAAATGGAGAGATGTGAGCACAAGGTGGGAGCACTGGCCTGTTTGATTGACAAATAACCCTTTGTTGTATGAACAGACAAAGTGTGTGTGTGTGCATCCTATTTTGCTCATCAACAGGGAGTTCCCATCCAGTATTTAACCCAGGCGATTATTTGGGCTGGAGGACCGCTTAATGAGTTTTGGTGAGCTGTTGAGGGTCGCACACATGCGCGCACGCCCATGCCCTAGTCCTGGTCTGCCTGCCCGCCAGCCCCTGCCCGGAGCCGTCATCTGCCAGCCTCATCCACAGCCAGGTGCAGGGGATGGAGCCTGGATGTCCTGCCCTTCCCTGCCATCAGGGCTCTTGGCATGTGCGCACACCCCCTTTGCACCCTGCATCTCACAGAAGCCCTGAAAGAGGGGCAAGGTGGGATGGGACAGCTCAGTGGCCTGAGGCCAGGCTTCATCCCGTGCAGGTGGGAGCTGGATGAGTTGTGCTTGGGCCCCAGTGGCTGGTGGGCAGAAGCAGTTCTTCCTGCCTGCCCAACACTGCACAACAACTGGAGCCAGAGCTGCCAGGGCTTGCTGCACAGTGCTGAGTGGGAGGGGCTGCTTCTGCCCAGTGTCCCCCGCAGCATCTGAGAGATGCAGTCTGGCCACACAGGCCCTGGGTGAGCTGTGCTAAGACCCTGGCCTCTGCTGGTGGGCAGCCCCCAGGGCTTGCAGGGGCAGACTGTATCTCCCGAGTGCCAGAGGAAGGGCGCTGGGCAGAAGCAGTCCTGGCATTGCATGGGAGGCCCTGGGCAAGCTGTGCTCAGGCCCCTCTTCTGCTGGCAGGTGGCAGGCGGCAGCTCCAGCTCTGGCCTCTGCTGGTGCTGCACAGTGCTGGACGGGCAAGAGGGGCTGCTTATACCCTGAGAGATGGAGACACCTGGGTGGGCTGGGCTCTAACTCCCAGGCTGTCATACAGTGCCAGGTGAGTTGGCGCTGCTGCTTCCACCCAGTGTCTCCTGTGGCACTAGCAGAAGCCAGAACCGCCTCCATGCTGCCTGCCAGCAGAGGTGGGAGCGCAAGTGTGGCTCACCCAAGACCTGCCATGTCATGCTGATGCTCACACTGCCTGCCCATGTGCCAGATAAAATCAGTTGGCAGGCCGGATTCAGCCTGTGGGCTATATTTTGCCCACCCTGTGGTGTGGTGGCCATTGCATTCTGACAGAATCTCAGGAATCCCTCATTTTCCAGTGCTCTTTTTAGAGGATTTAGTAGTAATAATAATAATAAGAATAAAAATACAGTATAAAATACTTAACGTTTTTAAAGTACTTCAGATTAAATGTACTTCTAATTTCAACAAGAATAGAAGCCCTACAATGGGTATCAAGGACTTATTTCTGTTTTCTCCTCTTTTTCTTTGCATTAAATGCCAATAAATGTTTCTATTGTATTTCTGTTTGACGTAGGGTAATGGTACAGAATCATTTGTAAAGTAATTCTGTCCTGATTGGGCCATTGTTCCATAGTAGTCAAATCAATCTATGTTTTATTTTTTTCACAAAAGATTATTAAAAGTGTGTGTGTGTGTGTGTGTGTGTGTGTGTGTGTGAGAGAGAGAGAGGAAGGGAGGGAGGGAGGAAAAGAAAAAAAAGTGTGTGTGTGTGTGTGTGAGAGGGAGGGAGGAAAAGAATGTTTTAGTTATAACTTGTCTCCTGGTAATAAATCACTTCTTTTGGAAACAGACAACTCCCTTCTCCTATTATCTGACATATCTCAAGAAGCACTTTCAATTTAGGAGACTAAAACTAATAATTAAAATGCTCTACCTTATAATAACCAGCCCATCTTGTTTAGAGAACATTGTTATCCTGTCTGTTTATCCTTTCATATCATATTATTCTTTCACTTAACTGTTCTCAGGCTTTTTATATGCAACAATAAGGTCATTGTACCTTGAATTCACCTTTAATTCATTGGTCTCTCAGGAAATGACATACTCTTAACAAGTGACACTCCTACATAGTCTCAACTGATGCGTTTGAGAAATGTTTTTTATTATCGTAGGAAAGAATTTCTAAACCTGATGGACAAGTATGGATCTCATGCTAATACAGACTCTGCAAGAAGCTCTCCAACACAACTGCTAGCTGGTAAGACATGAATATTTCTGTATTTTGTACTATCCTGAAATAGTTGAGACTGCTTGTTAACCCAAAATAATGTTTCAGGGCTGTAGTCATTCTTTTATGAAATAGAAACTACTGTGGACTCCTGCGTGAGTTCCTGATTCTATCATGTACCCACTGTCGGTACTCTTAAGCAAGTCACTTAACCTTCATGTGTAAAATGAGGATAATGCCACCTTCCTCAAGGGCATTTTATTAATTATTTGTACAATGTTTTGACATTTTCAGATAAAAGGTGGGTAAAACATGCAGAGGATGAATCTGTGCTTAAGGTACTGTAGCTTTGTGCACATACCTGATAGGGTGCTTGCACTGATAAGGATGCCCTATATACTGGATCAATTTGTCCCCTTAAGGGTGTATAACAGATGATTTTGACACATTTTATGTGAAGGGCTCTTGCTTTACAATCCAGTGGGTGATGTGTGTTTCTGAAAACCAAGTGCTTGGCGGCTGGGTAGCCCTGCACTTTAAGTTTTCCTTGAACCTTGTTTTATCAGTTTGACAAAAGCTTTTAATCTCCTTTCCAAGACTGGAAAGAAGGGGCTGGGAAATTGAGGTGATGGGACTGGAAAGCTATAGTTAAACACTTGAAGCTATTACTTTGAGAGGGTGAGGTGCAGGGTAAATCCAGTGTTTCAAGAAAGGATTATTTTCAGTAGCTGATCTAATGTTCTATCTGCTCTCACCCCTAGCATTTTACTGCTCTCTGATTTGTTAAATCAAGTTCAGGCATTGTAAGATATGAGCAGCCCTGGGTGCTAACCGCCATCCCAGCAGCCAGAAAGAGGTGGGGGTTCCCATTTGCCAGAAGGGTGGGTAAGCACACTGTCCACCTACCGTGTGGCCTCCTACAGGTTGCCGTGATTGCAGGGCCTTCAGTGTGCAGCAGTCTTGTGGCAGATATTGGACAGAAAACTGCAAAATTAATTCCAAATCATAGCATTTAATCTTTGCTATGATAATGCACAATAAAAGAATTGGTCATAATGATGCCATTAGGCAGAACTAGAGCTATGCCTTAAAGTTCCTGAGAATAAACCTCTTCCTGGCATGTAAGCAGTTCCACTGGACTATTTGCAATGGCAAAGCTTGCAAGATTTGTTTCTGCAGGCCACTGAAATCCTGTGCTGTCCTCAAATGAGATTTTTATTTCTCTTTTCCCTCTGCCTTTCTTCTTTTCTTTTAAGTGAAATCTGCTGACAGCCTTTCTTCAGCATCATCTTCAAGGTCCCAGAGTCCTCAGCTGGCACAAGCAAAGGATACTGCCACCAGCCACAATGGAAGTATCTCTGTCATAGACGCATCCCTTCACCTCGCAAAGTAATTTCTAAAAGTGACTGTCGCTCTCTTGTACAAGCTGCCTTTCTCTGAAGTATATATATTCAGTCACGTCTGAAGGTTTTGTGTATGGTGCCTTAAAAGGACGCAGACAGATAAAGAGAATTTTCAGAACCATGCTGCTAGTAACACTGCTGACTGTTAAAATGGAAGGAAGTTTTATAACCAAGTCTTTTTTTTTTTTTTGTAGTTTGTTTACCTTTGGCCTTTAACTCAGCTTGAATGGTGAAATGAGGCTGATTTGGGGTTGTGTGTGTTTCTCCAACTGACTTGTTGGTTGAGAGTCACCTGTGCCAGCACGCTGCCCCAGTGAGTGGCTACAAACAGCACAGGAGGCACCTGAGGTTTCAGTCCAATACAGAATCACGTATTAAAACTTGAAAAAGCAGTAGGTCTAGAAAGAACAAACATAAAGATATTTTGGTCCTTGTTCACGTGAAGTTACTAGAAGCTGAGTGTAGTAGCTGGCCCAGAATTTGAGAGACGGACATATTTAAAAGTCAGGATACATTTATTAGTTCATTCAGCTTTGAAAATTCTGGCCAATTTATCCTAGGTTGAACTATGAGTCATTGGCAAAACCAAGTATAGAAACACGTAATCTTGGTTCCCCACCCTCCTCTAGCAAATAGACAGTTCTGTGCAATCTCCAACTTTTTTAACTAATTTAATCTTCCACTCTTTATAAACAACTTCCCACATGCTTGTTTTGAACTAAGGTGGTTGAAATATAGGCTTGCAATGTTCCGGGAACAGTAAAAATACCACAGCAAATATTTGGAAAGAAAATGGAATGACTGCAAACCAAAACAGCCCTGCAGTTAGATTTATGCAAAATGCATTTACTTAAAAGCACTTAAGAAAGTTGATACTTGAAACTTTCTTGCCATGCAGATTTTTATGATTATTTTCACATTTCCAGAGAGCTGGTTGTGTACAAAATGCTAGCTGAGTACTGCACACTGCTTGAGTTCTAGCAGTGTGTATATCACGGTCTCAATTCTTATATGTAACTTGCCTTTCAGTTTGTAATTGCTAAAGCAATAACAGAAAAAATAATTTGTATTAAATAGAATGTGGACTGTATCAGTCTTCTAATTAAATATCAGCCATTTCTTTGAGACTATATGTACGTCGTGGGTCTTCATTGGTTTTTGGACTCTGGAGATTATGGAACTGACCTCTTAATGCTAATTTTCATTTTTCTTTTTCTGTGCCTTTTTTTTTGCCCCATAGTGACAGTGCATTTCAGATTATCACTGTTTCCAAGGGAACAGGCCTAGGCTTGAATATTGTGGGAGGAATTAACAGAAATGAAGGGCCCTTGGTGTATATTCAAGAAGTTATTCCTGGAGGTGACTGCCATAAGGTAGGGAGTCTAATGTCCTTTTCTATTCATATTTCCTCCCTTCATTTAGTACCAACTTCAGCACTGCAGATGTTCTACAACAACAATGTTAAGTTACTTTGACTTGCAAGAACTAGGACATGTTGTTTTCCTTGACACCGCTAGACACTGGGACAGTGTCTCCAGTGGAAAATTTTCTCAAGGGTCAAACCTTTCCTGTATTAAACTATCCTGTAAGGAGCATGAGTCAAGTAGGCTCTTTACTCATTTTCTTCTAGCATGTCCATGTAGGTGTCCAAAGCAACAGAAGCAAGCTAAGGAAGGATTTCAGTTATTCTGGCTGGTACATGCTACAGCTGGCCCAGGGTTAAGATTTGGACTTGTTGGTCAGGTAGCCCCAGGCCTGGCTTAATGTTGAGGCCATTTCATGCTCATGAGCCTAGCCAGGTAGCATATGTCACACCAGCTGAGGGCAGACACGGAACTTTTCAAAAGAGCATAATGGAGCCTGATACAAGCTTCCAATTTTTGCTCATCTTTTCCTGTGCACTGAGTCATTTTGTAACAACAGAGTGGTCCTCCTGAGAACTGCTGTATCGTAGCCATAGTATTTCAGTGCAGCCATTAACAAATTAAGGTATGAGGTAGATAAGGATAGTATAATCCTAAAGTATGAGGTAGATAAAGAATAAGAATCATTATTCTCCTCTTACCCATGAAGAACATAAAAGACAGTGGAGTCAAATTATACACTCCTGCACAGTCCCACAAGCCTGTGGCAGAGCAGGGTATTGCATCCAGGCATCTTGAGGCCATGTCAGTTTTTCTGGCCCCCTGAAAGATCAGGCTTCTTCAGGCTGAGCTGAACTTGGACAAATACAGTCTAAAAGCAGATGTTCAGAAAGGTAAGAAGAAAGACTTTTGCAACTTATCCTCTTTTGCGCCCCAAATTATCGATTAAATATGATCCTGGTGGTTTTGGCCTCTACATGCTTGCTTTAGCCTGCAAAGCAAGAACACTAATTGTGCTTACAGTGATTTTCCAATGTCTGCCTGTGTTTACATGTGACCACAATTTAGTATGTGCACAAAAGGAGGGTAAGTTAAATTCAAGGCGCGGAAAGAAAGAAAATTACAGAGCCACTGTAGGACTACTTCTCTATAGATAGTAGGAATTTTCTCTCTTATTTTGTTTGATTATATTCTGCCTTCCAAATACATTTTATCTGCCCCGTTGTAGTTTAGTGCCTGTTCTTTCTCTTTATCAGTGACCCAGTAATATTTCTAATAAGAACACTGATATTAATATTATAGCATACATCTGTCACAAGCATATGTAAATCCTTATGGATTTGTAATCTCTGTATTTAAAGTATGCTGTTTGCTATGTCTGCCATTGGAGGGCAGCATTGTAGCTAATATTTCTGAGGAAGCTGTTTTTCCTCTGTGGTCAAAGACAAACAGTTAACAGCAAGAAAATATGATAATTTTTTTATAAAAGCCTGAAGTCCAAGCAACTATTATGTAAACACATGCATTTTATGATCACAAAACTGTATCTTTGTAGTCCTAGGCCAAAAGATTTATATTTACTAATGATAGCACTTATAAATGTATTTTAGGGACTTTTTGTGAAATATGCAAGCTGATTACAGAGAGAGAATTTTAATGTTCATATCTTCCAAATTTTCTCATCTGGTAACTTTTTTTTATTCCGAATGTATCCAGGAACAAAAAAATGTTTAATATGTGCGCGTGTTTATGCTCCGTTTACTGTTGGAATACGGTAATTTCAAAATCAACAGCTTTTTAATAATTAAAATAAGCCAATAATCTGGGTTTTCAGTTACGTGTAACAGACTTCTTTTAAGGCCCTTTTCACAGCCAGACGATAGCCAAGAGAACTTAGTCTTAATGAGGAATCAAGCATGGGATGTTTAAAGCCTCGCCTTATCACTATCTGAAACAGAAATGTGATACAGACTTATTTTTGCAGAATGTTTCAGAGCAGGCTGCACTGAGTAATTCAACCAGAGCACAAACCAGTGTTCTCCTAAAATTCTTTTAGATAGATGATAAAAATGTGAAATGTGATTAAAAACTCTACTAGCCGCAGAGGATGTGAAAATCTGTCTTCCCTCGTTCAGATGAGTTTGTCTCAAGAGTGCCTGAAAAGTCCCTTTTGTAGCCATGGAGGTCAATTTCTTCACATATAAATTAATCCAACTCGGGGCTGGATTAATGGGTACAGAGGCTTCCCTTAGTCACATGGGTCAGTGTTCGTTGCTGGAAAAACGTCGATCTGCAGTTTATTTTTATATTAAAAAAATAAGCATTTGGGTCCAAATTCATTCTATTGACATCTTCCAGAGCTTTTTGCCTCAGTGAAGCATATTCAGCTGGATTATACCAGAAATGAAAAGGCCCCTATTTTCCCTCCACAGTGTCTAAATGTTTTTTATTTTAAAAATGTTAAATGCTATCAGCAGCTCCGGTGCACTTCATAGATTCTGTCACTCCATTGCCAAAATCCTTGTTCTGGTATTCAAGCCATTGTTTTTCTGATGTATTAAAAGTCATCATTGTATTGTATCTTTCACTGGGGACCCACAACTTCTTCCACACCGTTGAAGGAGCCTGCCAGAGCGGAAGCCCCCTGAGATGTTACTGGAACTCTAAGGGGGGAAAGGATCTACCCAAAATGAAAAAAGTGATATAAGTGGGGGCTAATCCTAGTACGTTATAAACAAAGTTGTAAGCAACCAAATGGACTACAGCAGGGGTGGCCAATGTGTGGCATACATGCCACAAGTGGCGTGGGCAGCCTCTGCATCTGGCACATGGCAGATGGAGAAGGAACAAAGAGCATAAGACAGATAGGGCAGGGGGCAGAAAGTGGAGCAGCAGATCAAACAAGGGAAGGCAATTGAAGTGGCACTTAGGGAGGACATGGAGCTTAATTTGTGGCACACCAGCAAAAAGATTGGACCCAGCTGGACTACAGTGTTGGACAATCACGTTGGTCCATGCAGAAGCTCAAAAGCACATTAAACTGTTGTGGTTTGAAAATTCTTCCAGCTTTCTCTTCAGGAACATGCATACATAAAATGCCATACTTGGTTGTTTTTTTTTTCCTTTACATTTTATTTATTAACTAATCCAAATTACAAAATAGCAAATTTAGTATTTAAAAATACATCTAGTCCCCAAGGTAGACAAAAAGACGGATATTTATCTTCCATCAGTAGTGCTCCCTTCACCCAAGCCAGTTTCCACAAAGGCAAGTCTTGTGTTCTTTTCTTTTTCTTTCAGTCTCTGATAGCTCCTTTACATTTCATAGTTGATGTGTTTCTTCACCTGTATCTGTAATCTGCTTAATAATTCACCTCCTCTTGGTCATGTAACTACGGGGTGGTACTTAGGCCAGCAACCACAGACATTGCCTCTGTAGAGAAATAGTCAAAATCACAGCGGGGGCTGATTGCGCTACTGTGATCAGTACCGCAACAGCCAGCACTGTCCTGAGCATCACATGGCTGCCCAGGCCACATCGCTGCCCAATTATGCCTCAGCCTCCTCTTTTTCATCAGAACTCTACATAATGCAAGGCATACCATCTTCTACCATCTATGCTTTCAGATTTTGAATTCATTTCACATATGCACTTTAACAGTTAGCTCATTGAATTTGCACTCTTCTTTTGTATTCAGAAAAGTTTCTCGAAGTTTCTGAGTGGAATGCAAAAGAAAACTCTTTTTCAGCTATTCCAAGGATTTCCACCAGATGTCTGAGTAAGCACCTTTTTGTACTTGGTTGTTTTTTTTTTTTATTGATATTTATTAGGATGGACGATTGAAACCTGGAGACCAGCTTGTATCAATAAACAAGGAGTCGATGATTGGTGTCTCCCATGAAGAGGCAAAAAGTATAATCAGCAGAACAAAGCCAAAGTAAGTATAGTGTTATAGCAAAATCTTGCAAGTGACGTGTACAACAATATTTTCTTTCCACATAGGCATGAAGTTTTTTAACAAAAGTGTTTGTTGTAAGAAGACACATTGTTGCCTCTGAAATATTAAATGCAAATTTTATATATTGTAAAAATGCTTAAATGTATGACCTTTAACCATTTTGGTTACAAAATATACTTATCTGATGCCAGTCAAGTGAGGGGAAAAATGTATTTGTCCAAAATAAAATACTAACCCATGAAATGTGGGCCAGTAGCTTTTTCTAAGACTGACATTTCATGTTACTCAGTGTCTCTTGGTTAACAGATGTAAAACATTTTTCAAATTTAGATCAGAATCTGCTTGGGAAATCGCTTTCATCAGACAAAAGACTGTTCCCAGTCACTTGGAACATGCACAACGCCCTTCTAGTTTCTTGACATCTTCTGGTGCATATGGACAGCAACAAAATCCAACATTTAATCTTCTTACATCTCCTAATGAGAACTTTGCTTCTAAGATGACCCCTTCCAGTGCTGTGAGTATACTTTTAACTTCTGTTAAGACAAGCCAAGTAAATGAGTATTTTTCAGAGTTAAAAAAAATCCTGAACCTTTGTTACATACTTTAGTATCAGATTAATTTCATTCAATTACCATTCTAGTAAGAAAATAATTGGACCTTTTCTAACAACATGAACTTCCTCAGGATATTGCAGACTTTCTGGGGTGTGTACAAAATCTGGTTAATGGAATGAGAGTATTAACTGAAGCATAGACTGACTGGGGATTGTACCATTCAGCTAAATCTTATCTAGTGATTTGAGTTTTATATTTCAGGGATGGAGGAAGTTTTCAGTACTAAGCAGGGAATACAGGAGTAAATGTATTGCTCTGCCACCATTGTAATGACACCTTCCTTAAGAATGAGACTATTGTTTCTGCCTACCCTTTCCCTTATTTCATAAAGTACACTGATTCTTGCTAAGTTATTTTTAGAGGTGCACAGATACATTGGTCTATATTATATTGACACCGACAAAAGGAAAACTGACATTATCGGCAGTCGGCTTTTTTTGGCTGATGCGGCCGATAATGTCGCTGATAAATGCCATGTGTGCACATGCAGCCAAAGAAATCACGCAGCCAGCTTGGCAGTTTGGAGAACAGCATTCAGCTGGTAAGTCTATTGGGGTGGAGGGGAGGGAAGGGAAGGGGTGTGGGGGAGGCAGATCAAGGCCTGCACGGTGAAGGAAGGAGTGGGGCAGGGGCAGACACTGCCCAGTTGGGGTGGGGCATGGGACAGAGCTGCAAGCGGCTCGTCCAAGGTGTCTGGGGGTGGCTCAGGGCAGGCATAGGCCCATGTGTCCCCCAAATCTGTGCATAGGGTGAAGGTGGGCTGCTGCTGCAGGCTGAGCCTGGGAGCAGCACCAGGCTCTTCCCAGTGGAGGGGTTGGGTTGGGGCTGCACTTGGGCTGGGCAGTTTTGGGACTGGGGCTATGGGGTAGGTCCCCATAGCCCCGCCTTCCAGTGCTGCTGCCTCCCCAAGTGCTGCCCCAGCCCAAACACACCCCACCAGGAAGAGCTCGGCTCCACAGTGGCATCCCAGCCTCACCCTGCGCACAGATCCAGGGGTCACATACCCACTATGCCTGCCCCGGGGGTGCACACAGCAGCAGGATCAGGCCCTCCCTCCCCGTGCCCCCCAGACAAGTTGCTCGCAGCTCCGCCCTGTGCACCGCCCTGGGTGGGCAGTGCCTGCCCCAGCCCTACTCCCTCCCTCCCCATGAGGGCCTCGATCTGCCCCTCCCCCCCGTGCCCGTTCCCTCCCCTCCGCCACTTCACCCCAACAGACTTACCAGCTGGATGCTGCTCTTCAAGCTGCCAGGCTGCATAGCAGCAATCAGATCGGTATCGGCCGATATGGCTTGTTAATAATCAGCCATTGGTATCAACCCAAAAAATCTTTATCGGTGCACCCCTAGGTATTTTTACATCTTTGTATGATCTCATTCTATTTCATCTTTATATTATTGCTATAGCTGAACTTTTATATCTCAAACTGCTATCTAAAAAAAGAAAAGAAGGACTTCATTATAAAGCAGAGGCTGCTAGAAAAGGTACTTGTCTTTGGATTTTGGTTTGCCTATATTTTGAGACCACAGCAATGGATTTTTCAGGACTCTCCTACATAAGAACATTATTACATACTATTGAATTGTCCATCAAGAATGACGGGGGGGGGGGGGGGCGGGGCCACCCCCCCCCCCCCCCCCCAATGCCGCCACCTCCCAGAAGCGTGTTGGGGGGGGTGGGAAGCTTGCCCCTCTGTCCCTCTCTGCCAGCACCCCATGCCGCTGTCATTGCCGCCTCCAAGGAGCAGGGCCGGGGGGGAAGCACGAGGCTAGCAGCGCTGGCCTGGCCCCCCCGCTCCATCCCCGCCATCAAGACAGCACATTGGCCACCTCCTGTCCGTAATGCTGTTGGATCACTCTGATGGCTTGTTTCAGTAACCAATCAGCGTGCTCCAAGAAAGTTATAGACAGACAGACAGATGGACTGAGCCCTTTATTATATTGCTACTTATTGCTGTAGCATGAAGACCTACTTCCAGCTAAGAGTAAAAACTGGGAATTTAACAAAGACACCTACACTTGGTGAAATTAGAGAACACTTCTTTTTGTCAGGGCTAACATCAAAATGAGAAATAAGTTCCTTTTGTCCCAGCCACACAAGTCAGATAAAAACTCAACCTAATGAAGCTGTCTTAAACCTAGTATGTCTCATTAGGCTCAAGCTCAGGGGGCTTTTATGGAAGAGACTTCTGCCACTAGTCATCAAGTATTTAACTCTGGTAGTTGGGAGAGGAGTAGAGTCTCATCTGACCATAGCCTTCTGCACCAGGGTCTGGGTTTGAACCTGAAGACACAAGGACATTTGGCAGCCTTTTTCCCTCTGCATTTCAAGTCTTGTCATCCCTGGGGCATCAGCTTCCTGAGACTATTTACTTTAGCTGCACAGGATGTTGTGGTACATGAAACATCTGTATAGTGTACTAGGCTGTGGTTGCAAGCTAACTTCTGTTATTGGATGCATCTTTTCCATGTGAAATGTGTTTCTCTCCCTTGTTTTTCAAGACTGTTGATGAGTTTCTTCAATTAAAAAAGTCCTTTAATAACTTTAAAAAATTTTAATGCCTTTAGATAATAAAAGAGTTTCCTTAGAGCGGGAGTAGTACCAAATTCAAAATTATAGATTTATATCCCCTCTTACACTTGAGCAAACCAGCAAACCTTGTTTTAATTAACATTACAGATTTTTAGTGCAAAGGAACGATTTTGGAATATGATGTTGTGAAAGCTTTGTAGACTAAAAGAAACTTGAGTATTGGAGAATTTCCACATGTTTTCAATTTTTTAAAAATATATTTGATTTATGGCCCATTTTACAGCTGAAGAAAATAATCTCTTTGAACAAGTAAGAGGATAAAGTTCCCTTTGGAACTAAGTCAACAGAAGTTCTTATTTGTTCATATTCAAAATCCACCTAGATATCCCTTCTCAGAGAGAACCGCTAGGACTTGCACTTTTTTGGTGCTTATTTGGATAGCGGTTCTGCATGTAATACACCTAAAAGAATAGCAGATATTAACATTTTTATTACATAGCTTAACTATAATGCTAAGTTAGCGTATGATAAAGGCACTGCCAGAGTGACTGTGCAATACAGAGCCTTTTAACTGTTGATTAGCAAACCAAATCCAGCCAAGTGCTATTTAATGGATGTTCAGCAGTTATACCTAAGTGACTTTGGTGGCTTCATTCAAGTTCCCAGTTCCATATAACATCAACATTATTAACTGGTGACCATCCTGGCAGAGGGGCAAAAGAATGGATATAGAGCATGAAGAATGAACTCTAGGAGTATTGGTGTATAGGCAGGTTTATCACAAGCTAAATTGTGATGTGAACTTAGTTAATTGCCTGTGTGTACACACTTCTACCCCCATGGTAAACATGAGATAACTCCCCTCATTTTCACCAAAGGGCAAGCAATATTGCATTTATCTTGGATAAGAATGTACATGTAAGTTATTATGGAGTAGCTAAGTTCATGCGGTATCTAATTTTGCAGTAAGTTGTCCATATAGCTGTACTTTGAGGATGTTCTTTCCATAACAGGGTTGGAAAACATTGTGTTGAGGAAGCTTGTAGCGTCACTGACAGCCCTGGAGAACATATGAAGTTGGTTTTACACCTTTTCCCAGCACTGAAATTCAGATGCAGTAAACATGATGAGACAAGCCCTGTGAAATAAACAGAGCCTGTGACTCAGTGGAAGCAGAAGTTTTCTAGTATGCTACATGGTGTACAGTATTCGCCACCCTCTTAAATATGCTAACAAACGGGCCTCTCTGGTTTTAATAAAATGCTTAATTCAAACCTCTGTTTCAGTCCTCATCAGTAATCATCTCTAATAAGCTTTATAATAAAATGGCTCAGTTAAAGGCTTCCTGTTAAAATGTCTGCACTGTTAAATTCGCATGCATTTTCTGAAATGAAAAGTGACGCTTTCAAGTGATAAACCAATCTTTAGCAGGTGCTTCTCAAACAGGGCATGCTTATACTGATACTTTTTAAAAAATAATTCCAGAGAGCAGTTACTTTCTAGTACCTGGGCACAGTGGGTCTAATGCATATATTTGTGAATTTTGAATGTAATTTTTTTTGGCTTCAACGTTTCCTCAATATTGATTTAATTTATCCAGCCATCTCTCTTTTTATTTTTAATTAAGATTAACATGTGTTTCTAGTCTGGTGTTTAACCTACTTTAGAAAATGACATTTCATAACTTGTGATCTCTTTCTTAGACAAAAACTGGATTCAAGAAGAGAGAGCAATCTCCAATTATTTCTGAAGACAGCAGCTCTACTGATGTGTCTGCTACTGGTAAATGCTTATTTTAATTCATTTTTCCTCTTTTTTACAATTACCCTTCCACAGAAAGAAGTACATAATGTGACTTAATAGGCTTTAAAGAAAGGTATCTAGGCCATTTATCACTACCGAGTAAAACTAGGATGAATGCATTATCCAATAACCCCTGTCAAATATAAGTTATGTTGGACATTTTTTTTGCACAAATAGTTTAAACTAAACAAAGATGAATGATTATAACATTTGCTGTAGAGCTATAGTAATCAATAGACTCCATTGAAACCAGTTAATGAAAACTCAGTTATAAATCAAGATTAGGTTGCCATAGAAACAGTGCTTTCTCAGTTTGCTGAAATACCATAGAGGTATTCTGCAGGGCAACATATCATAGGGACAAAAGTGAATGTTAACGGGGCTTTCATGTTGTTCAGTTATACACAAGGGCTACATTAAAGTAAAAAATGATGATGAAATGTTATGTATGTATTTGGTAGCTATAATGTTAAAACAAAAATTATAATTATATTGTTCATATCCCTAGAGAGAGTTTTTGGAACTGATGACACTTTTAATTCACAAGAAGCAAAAAAGTAAATGCCTACTAAAATATTTCATTACAGCTGAACATTTATTCTCTGTACTGCTGTGCAGAATGTCTTTTTGACCATCGTTAAGTAGGGACCAGGAAAGATCTGCCTTTTCAATGGATCAGTCCACATTCACAAGTTCCAGATTTGATTTATTGAAGGAAGGATAAACATAGGACCAGATTCATCTACTGACATTATTTAAGTTGTATCAGCGATTAATTACCCTAATTCCTGTACTTCCCCTGCCAGGAAAAACAAGCTCATCCTCATGGGTGACTTCAACGCAGGAGTTGGGTGAGACTCTGAACTCTGGAGTGGCACCATTGGGAGAGAGGGGTTGTGGAAAGTCAACTCCAGTGGTATCCACCTCCTTAGTAAATGTGCAGAGCATGACTTGCTCATCAGGAATACTGTTAGACCCCGACTCCATGCAGCGCGCAACAGCTAGGGAGACAATGGTTCAATCGTTCATGGATCCTGTTACTTGTTAGCCAGAGCAAGCAGGGAGCAAACACCAGCACACATTGTTCGCAACTTTATTCAGAATGGAGACCGCTTCAGACAAGGGTCCCTCACAGACGCACAGCCTGTGCATCAGGGAACCTGCACTGAACATTAGTTCTTTACACGTTTTATATACCTTGATTCATGCTTATTAACATTCATTCCACCTCATCCCTCTTCATGTTTCACCCATTTCGCTTCCCATTTCAAGCTCTGCCTCTGTTTACTGTTTGCTTCATTAGCATGATATTGCCTATGCATTTCATTCATTTACATGCCTCTGCTAAGAGTGCATGCATAAGTCTTTGACCTCCGCCTTCTCCCGGTCAGTTGTGGTTTCTTGCTGGTTCTTTCTGGTTTCTTGCTGACTTCAGCATCATCTCCAAGGCCGTACATCTGTTTGTCCCCTAACGATAGCCGTTGGTCTGTATCCTATTTTTACACAACACATTATGCACTTTGCACCCTATCTTTTGTTAGGAATCCATTTACTTAAGCATTAGCAAAGTTAGTTTTAATATGTCATACTGCCTTGTGACCAGCAACTTTTGCTGAGACACAGATAAAAGCCTTTATTCAGCTGCAAGTCCAGTGCTCCCCAAGATCCAAATTCTGTCACCCTAACAAATACCATCTTCAGACAGAGTGACAAATATAAAACCACTTGGAAACATCCATGTTCCAATCACTGGCACCTTCTTGACTATATTATTGTCAGAACCCTTGATCTTACCGATGTCCATATCACCCGAGTCCTGAGAAGTACAGATGACTCTGGAAGGACCGCAGTTTGGTCAGTTTAATCATGGCCATGCAGCTTGCACCACAACACCGTAAACCACCAAAAGGAGTGCAGAAGAGATTTAACATCAAAGCACTCCGAGACCAAGCTAGATGCAAGGCTTTTCAGTAACACCTTACTGGGAGGCTCTCTGACCTACCTGATGACATCAGGGACATCCAGGAGGAGCTTAAGAATGTTATTCACAAGGAATGTGCTGAATCATTTGGATACTCTATTTACCCTCACCAAGATTGGTTTGAGAAGAATAAGGAGGAGATCCTAGCACTGATCGATCAGAAGAGGGCTGCGTTCTGCATTTGGCAAAATGAACCAGCAAAAATGAGAGGCTTACCACCGGCTCAGAGCTGTAGTTCAGAGGAGGCTACGGGCCATCAAGAACCAGTGGTGGCAAGCAAAGGCCACGGAGATCTAGAGTTTCACTGACCAGCATGACATGAGAAGCTTTTTTCAAGCAATAAAAGCCATCCACGGGCTGCGTTCCAATGGCCCAACCCACTTATAATCCCAGGATGGCTCCACCCTTCTCACAGACAGTGTATCCATCCCAATGGACAAATGCTGGAAGGAGCACTTCAAGACCCTACTCAACCATGAATCTGAGGTCTCAGCTGCCACCAATTGAGTCCATCCCTCAACATCCAGGTCACTCACCCGTGAACTCCTTCGTCCTGGAATTGGGGCTGAGTATCAAATGGATGGTCAGGCTTTCAACCTGCAGCACCTTTACAGCAAAATGAGTTGCTAAGATTGGCATCGCCAGCCTTCAGTGTGCTGATGGCTGTTATCCTTGCACACACTGAGACTGATCTGCAGTCCACCCTTAACCTTTTCTTAGGTGCCTGTCACAGCCTGGGACTCTCCCTTAACATTGGGAAGACCAAGGTGCTCCATCAGCCTGCCCCAGCACAAACTGCCCCCTTACCTCTGCAAATTACCGTTGGTGGAGAACCCCTGGAAAGCATTTCCCATACCTTGGCAGTCACCTCTCCCAGTCAGTCAGTCTTGATGTAGGAATCAAACAGGATTCTCTGTGCCAGTGTAACCTTTGGAAAGCTGCTTCACCGTGTCTTTGCTGACCGAGTTCTGCAGATGGAAACTAAGATCCTGGTCTACAATGCAGTGGTTATCCGCACGCTACAGCCCACTTCAAAGAGAACCATCTTGCTTAGGAAGTGAAGAAATGGCAGAGGAGAAAGGAAGGCACCACTTGTCAAACCTATGGAAAACTTGTTAGAGCACAGATTGGGCTCCTCAGTCACGTTAAAACAGACCAGTAATCCCCCCCTCGGCAGACATCATCCTCATATCAAGGGATAGCTGATGATGACCCTAATTCCAAATGAAAAGTCTTGTAACTGAGAGCTTGATCAATTTTGCATAAGTTGAAACATTCCCTCAAGAATTAGCTGGCTGATTATGAGCTTCTTAAAGCAGAGAGGTTATAATATTTCATGTAGCTTGAATTAAGTCATCAGACACTTTGCACACTGACTGCAAAAAAACCCAGCAAATTAGATATTACAAGACAAAGGCTACTCTGACCTATAGTACAGAGCTATTCATTTGATTAAAAGGATAGAGGACTTGGAAGCTGAATGTCTGTTGCTTCCTTTTTCAACACAAGGTGTTTTTAAATAAATGTTCTATATAAGTGGAGGACAGTAGCATAGCACTTCATGAGAAAGAAAATACCACCCTTCCCTCTCTGGTCAAACATGTCGTGTGTTTTCTCTCTTTAGACTGCAGTTAAAGATTTAGGATGCTGTTGGTATAAGCACCCTGGGGATTATCCCACGTAAATCCAAGTACTATGATAAAAATGCAGTTGAGTTACAGTTGGACTTGGGTTATAAGAAGTAATTATGGGCCTTGACGGTCTATGCTGAACACATCCTAGACTCTCAGCTGGTGAAGATTGAATGAATTTATTACATTTAATCAGTTCAGTTACTAAATCTCTGTTTTATAGCAGCTGAGTTTTGGGTCTTGACTCTGAAAGTTTGTTCCTACGATGTTGCCACAAAACATCAGTTTGTCAAGAACAGTGTTAGTGGAAAATTTCCACGGGTGGTTTTTAAACATCACAGTTTATCATCAGAAATAAACTAGATAAGAATAAAGGCTGTACAAACTGTTAATAGTCTGGGGGAGGAGAAAGATTTGTAATCCCTGTACTGTCTCCAGACTTTCCCTCTTCCTATTCTAACAACAAGCCGTTGATCAAAACCACTTCTTTCACACACCTTATCTTCACCTATTATGTGAGACAACTAAAACTGCTTTTTGATCAAGAGTAATTGTGATTTACAACAAAAGCAACGTAATTTTGAACGGCGCTTATAAGAGACGAGCACAAAGCCGAAAGACCCAGTAGTTCTGTGAACTCAGTATCCACACGCAGACCTCAGTGCAGTCATGCTGTTGTAATCAACTGAGGTTCTAGGCACATACTGATAACATGAACTAGTTTGAGCTTGGAAACAGATGCTTTGTGAAGGAAGAATTTGTGTTTTGAATACCTTTCCTGATTTACATGGTGTGTACCTTCTTGTCGATAACTGTCCACCCCACCTTCCTTCTGCAAAACTCAGCCAGTAGGTTTTTTTTATTCTATTTTTAAATGAGGTGTTAATGCCTCTAAAGTCTTAAAGAAGCTGTAAGGTCACTACCATGCTTATAGTCCATGTTCAGAGTCTTCTAAAGGTGACCTCTCTTTTCTCCAACAGAGGTGTTTCTCCAGTAGGAAAAGCTACTGTTGATTTCCACCCCGTCCTCTCTAAGTATATTCCCAGCAAAAAAAAATAGTTGGTGGCTGTGGTAGATATATTATGTGTTCTTGGGAATGCTTATAATTTTTAACATAATTTCCTCCCGGTATTTATAATTCATAAATATTGGAAAGTAAACAGGTGCATCCAGTGCCGTACCTAGACTCCTGGTGGCTCCAGGCAAACTTTTAGTATTGGGATCCCCTTCGCCAGAGATAATGATAATAATAATCAGACTTGTTGCAAAAGTCTTTATCACATCTGTGGTATCAGCATCTTTAAATAGTTCGTTCTCAATTGATAACATATGTATAATACAAAAACTTTTTTTTTTTTCAATTGTAATTTTTTTTTCATTTTTGGGCCTCCTTTCTGTCCAGGCCCCGGGTGGCCACCTGGTTCGCCCATGCCTGTGTCCAGGTCTGGGTGCATCACTGTGTACTGACACATCTTTTTAAAATTATGCAAAGCAGTTAATGCACCTGGTGGAAAGGAGGGTTGGGGGGCATGTAGTTGTGCCTGTAGGCCACAGTAGGTTGGAATTTCCCATTCCTTGGAGCCATATGGGATTCTACATCTAAAAATCCTTAATTCGGCTCTGCCTCTCAGTGGCAAAAAAACATCCCTTCTGGTGACAATGCTTCCTAGTTGAACATTAGGACCAAATAGTTCCTTACATTTCACACTTCAAGATCACTGATTATACAAAGGTTTAAAAAATGAGGCTCAGCTTTGAGGGTCTTTATCTGAATACACGTGTGTGTTCCCCTCCTCCCTCCAGAATCACTCTCTTCTTTTATAGAAACATAGACCAAGTCTTGCATGTATAAGCTGTGTAATTCTATCATGTCTTATTTGATCTTCTCAGTTTAAATAATGCCTGTTTTCTCTCCTTTAATTATGCCCCATGTTTATAATAATCTTCTCTTACATTTTGATGCATAAATTGTAAAATGGTTAAACGAGGTCCATATTTACTATTTTTGGGAATGAACAGCTTACCAATCTACTTCTCACATTTAAAAAAGTCATACTCAGCATTAGAGTTTATTCGGGTGATCAGGTGATTAGTTGGAATTATTTTGAACAGCAGGACTTCAAAACACATCCTTCAGAAGGAAGAGTTACAATTAAATTGCCAATTAACACACAACCTGTTGTCTCCTAGCTGTTGCCCCCAACCAGGCAGATGATTATGGACTGCAAGGAAAGAAGATTTCTGTAAACCCTACTGTTCGTCTCAAAGTGGAAAAGCTGGAGATGGTAAATATCTTGTCTTTTGCCTTTTACCCAGTAAGTAGAGCATATGAAACACAAAAAGAAAATGTCAAGCTTGAGTACAGCCTGAGTAGGTAGACAAGAAATTATTATTTTCCATTTGGATAGTACGTTCATTCTTTATAGCCATATCTGACTTGACATACTGGGCAAATGGCTTTTTGGGTTGGTCCACTTAACCATTAACTACATCCTTTGCTGGATGTTGGAAAAGCATTGTTTAAGAATATGATATTCAGGAAAAGGGATTCCACTCATTCTTACCTTGTGACAGGTAGGTCACAAGTGGACTCGGGAACAAAATTTTGGCCAACAAAAATTAAGAATACAGACGAGCATTTTAAATCTGACATAAAACTAGGTACTGAGGTTAAGTAAAGTGTCAAGGGATCATAAATGGAAAAAAAATAATGTAAACAAAACCACCCTACAGAAAAATCTTCAACAAAAGAAAAAAAGGGAAAAAAGAACAGAAAATAAGGAGCTAAAATGTACAACAGAAATACTAAAATAGCCACAAGGGTGTGGCTATAGCAAGAGTGAGAGAGAATGAAAGAAGATAAAAATACAAGCTTAGAAAGAAGTAATATTCTAGCAAAGGATCATTTGGGAATAAGAAGAAATGCAAATCGAGAGCAATGATCAAGGAAATGAGATTCACAGAAGTACTGTGGAAGGATAGATCGTGTATATAACTTTTTTGGAAACGTGCAGTATACATTTAAATAGCTGAGTTAAATAAATGGGTTTATTTGCCATAACACACAGTTTAGTCTGGTTTTTCTTTTTTCTTCATTCCTGCACTTCAATTTGGAAAAGGGATATAACAAATAGGCATGTTTCTGCTAACATTTCAGTTGGTCTTTTGGTGTTGCTAACAAGGAAAAAAATATAAACGAGAGAGTAAAAGATAAAAGGAGAGCTTTCAAAATAACAGAAAGATCTTCTAAATACACTTTGCACTATAGGAAAGTTCAATATAGCCATTCCACCTTGTGGGAAACTGCAGTATGGGAATCTGTTAGGATTATTTACCAGCTGGAAGTGACTTAAAGGAAATGTGACTATACAATAAACCTGGTTTTGTGTGATCACCCAGGACATCAGCAAAAATCCATAGCCAAATTACCAAAGAGATATGGGAAGAATCTGTTGCATGTCTTTTCTAGAACAAAATTGTTCCTAATTTTACACTTACTTTCATCTAATTTAAATGGCCCAACTAATGGAGCTTCATGGAGGTCATAGGTAATTTAAGCCTCGGACTGGCAAAGCATCAATAAACATTCTTAACTTTGAATACAAAAGTTGTCTTGTAGATGTACTTATAGTCAAGTGCCTTCATAGATGCCTTAAGCTGTGGTCTTTGAAATGCAGAAACACTAACGACAAGTTTTAACTTAGCCAAAAAAAAGGAAGTGAAAGCAAACACTAATACTTGGCTTGAAATAATTATTTGGGCACAATGTAGAAGTTCAGAATTGGGATTTTGTATAGAAACATCTCACTATACTGAGACATCACTTTAATAATCCATTGACGTAGACTTTTAAAGTGGGATATCAGGAGCACTGGAGTTTTTGTACAGCCTTACAAATTATAAGGAACTACTTAGAGCAAATAATTTGAGCAAGGATGGGAGACTTATTCCATACCTATAAGGAGGAACATTATTGGGGAATTGATGCTTCTTTTCCTTTATTAGTCTAATGTCATTAAACTTACTTCAGATTTTTAATATTTCTCAGACCTTAATATTTCTCAGGCCTTGTGCTGACAGTTTGTCTAAATCTCTCCCAACCGTGCAGTTAGTCCAGTAAAAGATGTAAGTCATTGCCCTTCAGATTCAAGTCACTTTATAAATTAGAGGGTAAGCATTCAGATAAGCTGATAATGAGCGCAGTTTAAATACGTTGGTAGATTTGGTCTTGGTGTTAGATCAGGCCTAAATATTGTCAGAACAAAATATGCCAGCCGTAGAAATATTATGCCACGCCACAAACAGTGTGTAATAATAAAGACAGTTTTCAGTGAGGAATAACTTTTCATCTGTCTCATTTAGCTTGTATGCAATAATTATTAAAAAACAGGGGGCCCCCAAAACTAGAACTTCTGTTTCTAAGTGGTAATGAAAAGGCTTTCTTGTCTATTTAAGGTAAAGTCTCGTATTCCGTTTTTCTTCCTCCTCCGTATACCCCTTTTTTCTTCTAGGCACTGAATTACCTTGGGATTCAGCCCACAGCTGAACAGCATCGAGCCCTAAGGCACCAACTACAGAAAGATTCTAATGGGACAGTATCTTTTGGAGGTAATCATTTGCAGAGTACCCTGAAAACAAGTGTAGCAGAGAAACACACAGCGGATAATACCCATTTGTATATTTTTCATTATATATCCTTCCCATCAGTATGCATTACTATGGTAATGAAAAGCAATTCTCTGAAGCCAGGCAGATGCTGATTCCACTATGTAATAATAAACTTGCAATTTTGGACTAGTGAACTGTAGTGGAAATCACATTTCTCCTAAGCAGCCTTGGCTCAGTAGACATTAAGTGCGCTTTCCACTTTTTCCTACAAATACATTTTCAACTGTGCACTGAAAATAGTTCATTTTACTTAAAGTGTGAGTTTTTTTACTTGAAGTCTGAGGTTTTTTTCCAAATGGAAATGGTTTGTCTTTAAGAAATCATGACTTTCTTTTAAGCAGAAAAATGCGAAGCATCTGCTTTATAATGGATTGATTTGTGTAAGTATGTAATAAAACTAATTCTGGACAATATTTAATGCATTATGGTCTTCTGAAAAATAACTGTAAGATTAAATTTTTTTGGTGGTGGTATTTGCTATCAGCCAAGGTATAACAAACCTCTGGAGTTAGCCACTTTTCTTGTTTAAATCTCTCTTTAATATTCAAGTGTCTTCCAAGTGCGTATTTAAATAAAAATGTGAGTATTCACACCTGCATAAAGGGCAACAGGCCTCAGCACTGAGTACGGAATAGCCATGTCAGTGTTCATTAAGCCTGTCAGCCCTGCACCTTCCACAAATAGCACACTCATTTGTTTTAAGTCATTGCAAGCATTTGCAAAATAAAGAGAAAAACTGACTTCAGTGAAATAGGTGCTGCAGACTACAGTAACTATACGTGTTTTAGATTTTGTTCAGGTTGCGAGAAATCTGTTCTGTTTGCAACCGGAGGAAGCAGGTGGTGGCCAAAACCCCATCGCATTCGGGCCCAGTGAAGTCATCAGTTTATTAGACTCACAGGTAAAGTGTATGTTGGTACGTGCTAGCATTTAACTCTCCAGAAGAGTATATTAACAAAGCTGAATTTACTCAAGCCTATTCCAGTTCTTGAAATACACTGTCTTATTGTTTTCTTTTAAAATAACTTTAGTTCCTAAGAATCCATTTTAGTTTGCAGGAAGCAATTCACAAAAAATATATTGTGCATTGGTATGTGTGTGGATAACAACATTTTACTGAGGTTCCTTAAAGGAGCAACTGAATGCTACCAACTCTGTTAGTAATAGAAAATTACGTGGCAGAATAATTTGAATTAGCTTTTTTCCAAGAGACAGTATTTAAGGATGGCAGCCAAAGTAGGAAATTGGTTACCAAGTAATATGGAAGGTAGTTTAATTCTTTAACCTAGGTAAAATGAGAAGCAGGATATGTCTACTGGTACTGTTTTCTCAGCCATGTTTGTTGTGTAATTTTTCTTAATAATCTGCTATAACCAACAAAGTTATTCTGTTGTAAGAAAATCTTGTGATTTTTTTCTTTTAAAACATATATGGCTTACTCCAGTACTTTTCAGACCTTTTGTATAGTTTGACGTTAAACGTTTTGGCTTTGGCTTTCTTAAAATATTGACGTATTCTGAAAACCTAGATGTTGTTTTTATCAAATTTTGTGCGTCTCAAAAAAGTTCTCTATCAGTTTTGCCTGTGATTCTCTCTTAACCAGGAGTCTTGTTTAAGAGATTAAACATTTTGAGAAATGCAGTTCATCTAGTATCATTGTCTAACTTGCCAACTTCTTTCACATTTTAATACAGTTTGTATCCTGTGATTCTGTGGAAGTGGATGATATGGAAAGACTTAAAAATGAAAGAAACGACGCTTTAAAAGAAATAACTAAACTGAAGGTAATATTGAATTTGGATTATTCTAAACAGAACACAAATAATTCATTCAAGGAAATATGGTATATAATCTTTTTTGAACATTCATGGAGCTTAAAAAGAAACAGTATCAGTACAAGTGAAGACAGTATTCAAGGACATCTGAAAAGCATGTGTTTACAATACGTTTCTGCAAAAATTGACCTTTGTTCACTGTGCTGTTTGCCATTCACTTTCTAGCCTGATTATCAAGGGAAATGAGACTAGAAACATTTAATGGAGCTATACTGTGTATGCGTAATTTGATCTGTCTAGGAATTTATACAGCCCCAATAACCACAATATCTGAGCGCCTTTTAGTATTTTTCTACAGAACTAGAGACTGAAGTAATCTATCCTCGAAACAAATTCATTTTTATTGTAGATATTACAGAATACACAGTATGTCACCTAAAGCAACAGGCATATCTAATTGCTATCTAACAGGAACATCTGCAATGTCCTCCTAACCACCTCATTTTGTCACTTCTTTTTGATTAGTTTAAGTAAGCCTCTGCTTATGGAAAGTGCCTGATTGATGGTCCAAAATGTCCTGGTGCTATATGTAATGTAGCCCTCCAGTGCACCTTAACCTTGTTTATCACAATCCTTTGCTAGGCTTGAAAAAAATGGATCAGTCTCTTTGCTGAACCTCCTAATTTCAAAGATTATTTTGATAAAGACAACAAAAGGTAGGAACAAAGTGAACCACTAATCCATTTCACATAGCCACAGAAATTAATTTGAAAAATTAAATGAGATATTTTTTTTAAATCCACAGTTCCCAGCCAATACAACAAATTAGATTGTGCTTTCTAACATGTATATAACATCATGCAAAACTATCAAAATGTCTTTCTGCTTACTCTGCTACATACAGAAAATTAAAACAATAAAGTTGCATGAAATTGCAGTGGAATATGTATTAAATAAGCGTGCATAGGCATAATTTACAACAAAAGGAAAATAAAAAGCTAAATGAAGGAGAAAAGAATTAAACTTTCGGTAGAAATTTAAGATTTAGTCTCATCCCTGGCTTTGCAAAGTTTGGCAAAAATGAGCATTGTTCCTAATACATAGCACATGTCTGTATTCCATGGGTTGCAGTTTTTGGGGATCTACTGATAGACATGTTTTGTTGCTAAAAAGCATAGCAGTAGTGGAAGAGTAAGTCAGGGCAGTAAGTGAAAAAGAGCTGTGAGCTGATACAGGCTTAGGTCCTCACAATTCTGATGGAGTTAAGATTTTCAACGCATTACTAAGGGCCTGGAATCGGACATTAAAAGAAGCATTGCACACTAAGTAATTGTCTATTTATTGTCTTTGTTAACAGGAACAATTGTCTGAATCTTTAAGTGTACAGAAACAGTTAACAGAGGAGCTACAGACTGTCAAACAGGTACATAGTTGCTGTTTTAAAATATAATTCTGTAGGTTTTTTCTTGTAAACTTGGGCGAGGGAGAGGGGAAAGAAAGGAAGGAGGGCAGAGAATGAAGGGCTGGCTTGGTGTACTTTATGGGGCTGTTTCCCTACTCTGTTACTACAGTTTGTCTTACCTTCACATAAAACTACTGCAGTGAGGTAGAAAATGAGGCTTTGTAGAGATGCAACTATTTTTGCCTTGGCAAAAGAGAAATGTTGGTGCAGCATGTCATCCATTATTGCTCATAACTATTGAGCAGCTCGTTCCTGGAACATTATGCTTATTAGTAACCCTCTCCATTTCCTATCTGCTGATTTTTTTTTTTTTTTTTTTTTTTAATACCCTAATCAAGATTAAAATATAACTTAAAGTACAGTTAGAGTCAGAAAAGTGTCTTTAATAATTTCATTGATGAATTCCAGATTTATGTCCTTTCTGTAACTTATCTCTGAGGAAGGTCCTTTTATGTCCATGAACTTATTTAACATCTCCTACAGTTATAAAAGATGTCATTACAGAAATATTGTTTCTCACCCAAGATATAGTCAGTTTACAAGCCATTTGAAATTTCTTTAGCTGTGTAAATATCCAAACTGGAGTCTGACATCTAGCTATATTCTGATGCTGACTGTCCATCACTAGCAGAAATAAAAATTTTGCTATGGAAACTTAGCTAGCAGTCTTGCCCTTGATGACGAGCAAAGCAAAAAAGAGCCCTCCTTGATAATTACATTGATTCTTCCATCCTGAGTAATGGCAGGGTTTTCTTTTTCCATAAAGTAAGATACGCCTCAAAGCACAGTTGGAGGAGATAAGTTGAATAAAGAGGTTCTGTGCTTCATTTTTTTCTGGGTGTAACTGTTTTTCAAGTGATCTTGCTATTTCTAGCTAATTCCATACAAATAAAAATGTGAACAAGTATTTGTATTGTAGTAGAAAAACATGATGTCTGAACTTGCTTTTGATAAAGATTTATTTGACATTTCTCAGAAAAAAGAAGTATGCTTCTATATATTTGGGTTTGTGTAAGAATAAAATAAAGTGAATTTAAGTATTTCTCACTGCCGTCATGTCACTGCTTCTGATTTCCTGGGATGAGAATGGGACTTTCAGTAAACTTTTTCATGTCTCCTAAGATAGGATTTCATATTTATACAGGTTTCCCTCTCTTTATGTGGGTTTTTTATGTTCAGAGTCGCTCTTACGCGATTAACCTCTTTATACCAAAAATGTGTTATATGCGAGGTACATTCACTCATGTGATTGGTGTGGTGGAAGCCCACAGTCAGCTGCTTTGTGCAGTGCATTGTGGGAGTGACGCCATAGGCAAAGGAAGAAGAAATTATTTGGGGGGAAGGCTGAGCTGGGTGGTGGTGCCCAGGCTGGGCTGCAGCGTCAGCCCCTGCAGCCTGGCCCAGTCCGGCTCCATCAGTGCAGCACCCCAGGAGCTGAGCACTGTGAAGCCCCCCAGGAGCAGCGCCCATGACCACTGCTCAGGGTAGCTGGTGTCTGTGCTTCTGGAGCTACAGCTGCCCCAGAAGTGGTACGGTGCCACGTCAGTACAGTCGAGGGGGTCAGTACAGTTGAGGTCTTGGAATATACCCCTATTTGTTACATGGTAAAGTGGGTTCCCTTTATGCAAATTAAAGTGGGTCCCCTTTATACAAATTATGCAGTTTTATGCACAGAGTTATGCACAGTTTTCCAGGAATGCATGTACCGCTTAAAGCGAGGGAAACCTGTACATCTATACATACTGTTCCCATAGAGAATTTTCTTTATGCAAGTTCTCTTATTAAAATAAATTATATACAATCACATCATGAATGTATATAGATTTTTCCAACCATATGACCAAATTCTATAGTGTTTCTCTTAACAGATCCAGGAGAGTTTCTGGCAAGCAGAGGACATAGATAGCTTTTTAGTACCTTTGTGCCTCCCACATTCTGAGTTGATCTCAGGACCACAAAGAAGCCAAAGTATATTAGAACAGCCTTCCATGGCTGACAGGGAGCTTTTCTAGAGGCTGGAATTGCTGGAATGAAGAGTACTCTAACCACTGTCATTCCCAGCCTGCTACTGCAGCAGGAACTATAAGATAGGGGACAACTCAGAGCCAGGTTGACATCAGAATCTTGCCTGAACTATAAGACAGGTTCCCAAGCCCAAAACAGCCTAAGATAAGACATAACACAAAGGTCAGGTATGAGAGAGCAAAGAGCTTAACCAAGGGGAATAAAATAAAGCAGGAATAATTCCTGGAAAGAACTAAGATGAAGGAAGAGAGATGGGTGAGGAGGAATAGAGGAGGTGCTGACAGCCAAACGAAAGATGAAATGGCCAAAAAGGGAAAGAAAGAAATGAAGTCAGCTGGAAGGTGTGCTGGGAGCTAAAGTGCTGGGGCATAGCACTCGTTGCCAAAGAAATATGCCTCCTCTTAGGCACTTAGTGTCTCTACCCAACAGCTTGCATGGCCAGCATCGCATCCAGACGTCTTTGGTGCCTCTGAATCATAGCAAAAATCCTAACTGCTCTATGTCCTGACATCTCTAACTACAAAATATGACAGAATACTGAACTGTACAGTACCAAAGGACATACATTTTTAGAAGCAAGTTTTTTAAAAAAGAGCAAAACCCAGTAACTTTACTTTGCCTTCTCCTTTTTCTCACCATCCTCATTAAAGTATTTCTCCTTTCAAACTGCTTTTGCTTTTCTCCTCTCCTGTTCTTTTCAGGCTTCTACCAGCTGCTGCAATTTTTCTGCTAAAAAAGCCAAATGTGCAGCTTAAAAAGTCTTCCTTGTTCTTATTTGCAGATTACATTTACACTTTTTTAACTTTCCTGTGTATGTTTGTTAGATTTTTTTATTAATAATCTTCAGCACCCAACTCCACTTGAATTGGTGAATGCTTTCTTTAATAGCTTGAGGTCGTTGTACATAACAAAGGTTATTAAAGTAAGCCTCACATTAGCTGAAGACATGTCTTTTTTAGTATCTTTATTGATAGCAATATTCATTTCTACCACATGAGGTCCTCATATATTTATTTCTTTTTCAAATCTCATCATGTAATTTTGAAGGTCAGTTTTGCAGCAAACAGATCAGAGCTCTAGAGACTAAACATTAGGGTTTTCTCAGGAGGACTTTAGGTAATGGCTGTTGAAATGAACCCAGATATTCAAATCTAAGAGCAATATTAAATCATAGCATGTTCCAGCATATGATTTTTTTTTGAGCTACTATTAGGTTCTTTTTTTTTTTTTTTTTAAGATAAATACTTAATTCTTTGTATAGTTTGAATGCATTTTTCAATCCTATATTTTTTCATGATGTGCATTGTAAAGAATCGTGTCTCAACAATTCAGTTAAAATAGAGATGACTTGTGAACAAACTGCGGAGTGCGGCTGCTCACAGTTCCAGATGGACATTTTTGTTCAGTTCACATTTGAGCCTCTTATTTAAGCACCAGTTTGATACCCAGATACTTGTTTTTCATGCTGACATGTTGGATCATGCAAGATGTCTTTTGCTTCCTGACTTTCAGTCAACCAAGTACTGAAACACATACTTAACACTAAGCACATGCTTAAGTGCTTTGCTGAATAAAGAATGGAGTTTACTGCATGCTTTTTCCTGAATCTTGGCTTCTATGAGGTATTGAGCATTAAAAATGCCCAGAATGTCAGAGTAGATTCCCAGCATTGTTTTAGGACAGGGGCCTGTACTGAAATGTGAAATTTGGAAAAGCTCAGCAGACTGAAAACTAAGCTCACAGTGAATAACTCTGTAAGTCTGTCTCCATGGTGAAAAGGGATGTGTTTTCTTACATTGCTAGAGCTACCTTGCGACAGCTGTTCCAGAGTAAAATCCTACTGGTACTAACACACATTGGTAATTTTGTATGTGGATGTTGTTAGTTGAGCCTATAAGCCCTTCTCCACCTTTCATTTGCTGTATTGAGGCCATGTCTCCACTAGGATTTGATGTTCAGAAACATACCTGTTTGTAGTGAAACGGCCAGTTGGTACATGGTTTAGGCATATGTATTGGGTGATCTCATCTCATCGTAAGAGTCCAGCAATTTAGTTACAATGAATTTCATAGGGGAAGGCATCTGAACACTGTAATTAGACCTTATTTAAAAATAAATAGATTTTCAAATTTAATGTTGATAAATTTTTGGTGTGCATCCATTTCCTGGTATCAACTAAGAAATAATCCTTGACTCCTAGACTTTTCTTGGCAGATAAGTGATGTAAGTATATATTTAGGGATTTTTGAAAACAGAACCCTGTACCACATAGTGAATCCATGAGACTTGGGAAATTTTTCCCTTGACCTTTTGTTCCAATATGTTCTCCAGGACCTTTTCAGTCAGTAGAGTCGAGCAATAGTAATTAAACCAATGGAAAACCTGAAATTCAGAGAAATGCTCTTGTCTAGAATAATTGATTTGATCAGAGTCTGGTTGTACTTGTCGTTTATCATAAAAACATACACCTCTCCCTTTATGAGGACTCTAATTGCTACTCACCCTAAATTTTAACTGACACTCTCGTCTTTTTATTTGGAGTATTATATACGTTATCCTTCTGTTGTTAATAATCAGCCCTCGTGGTTTTTATATAAATTATATATGCGGTAGCTTGAGGTTAAATAATTCCATCATGAATAGATATAACCCAGGAATAATTCTTCATCTTTGTTAATTGATGGAGGCAACCATCTGCATAGTTTAAATCTTTATTTTCAAGTGAAATCAGCTGGTTATCAGGCAGATGACTATACTATTGCAGCCTCTCTTGGACTCAGTTTTTAAACATTCTTCAGCCTCGTTTAAAGCTAAGCGTTATCACCTCAAGGCATAATAAACTGGTGATCAGTCCAAAATCTGAACTTTAGATTTTGTTTTGATCAGTCACTTTTGGAGGCAGGGAAATAATTCCCATGGTAAATTCTAGGCTGTTG